ATTTGCTCAATATATTCAATCACCCAAGTCTTAAGTAAAGCTCTGCTCATTTCTGAATTAGCATAGTTTAACTTCATAGGATGTACAAAATACTCTCTCTTATTATAAACTTGCCAGAAAAATCTGCTGTCCTTCACAAACGATTCATTTACCCTACCGGGTAGATATACCCCGGGGATTTGCTCAAAGTTTGCCTCCAGGTCTATCATACGAAGCATCGTCGGGACAGCTATTTCAAGAAAAACACTGTGTTTGTAAAAAATATGAGCCAACAAYTGAAAGATCTCCGAGAATCGCGCTGGAACATACAATATATCCGACCTTCCACGGTAGCAAAATGTCTTRCCGCGACCGTTTTTCGTGAGGATTTCCATAGTCTTCGTGACGTTAAGTCTATCCCACATATTGAAATCCTTTTGTAGGGACCATATCTCGTTATACGCTTTTTGGCACTGAGACTTGCCCCATCGGGATTTCCACCAGTACCATTTTCTCCTAGGTACAAATCCCGGGTACTGGACGGGGGCCTTGGGCCCTTCCCAGATTTTTCTCYGGTCGAAACGCAAAAAATTCCAAAAATTTAACATGACGTCATCATTGATCACTAAATACCCGTTGTAGTTAACAAGGCTACTTTTTGAATTAGCTGACAGTGAGTGGAACATTGGTTCATCTTTTATATCTATTTGGACTTCTCTGCTGTATTTTTCCATTGCTCTAGCCAAACACAAATACCCAAAGTAGCCCTTCTTGTGGTAAACTGCCTCTATGGGATGTTCTAGACTGTTATTCTCAGGTTTAGGCCCGCAAAACATGATTGYGGGAAAAGCGTTCCCGTATAACTTTTTCAGGAGAGGTACACTCGTATACAGTGGATGGTTATAAATTATTACYAAAACCACATCGCTGAAACTATCGCGAAGACAAGAAGGTGTAGCGAAGTTCGAAACGCCTTCTCTCTTAGTGTGGGACAGCTGAAGGATAGAGAATGACAACCACGCAGCTGAAATGAAAAGAAGTTTGATAAAGGACCAGGTTGAATAAATAGAAACTGGGCATTGTTTATAAGGGGAATTTCAGTTCAATTTTTCAATTCAAGGTTTCTGGAACATCAATAGAAAACTAATTCCCACGTTCCTGATGATATTTATTTTTCGAATGAGATTATGCTTGATCAGTTTTAGAAGTGTTTGGCCGCTACTGCTTGCTACTCCACCAGCTGACTTATACTCTTCATCGTATTGTGTGTGCAATCAATGAGCTTTTATCATGTAATTCCATAAAACTCATAGGACAGAAGAATAATTACCATCCTGCAGTGGAAAGATTATGTTAAAATTAGTTTGAAGGAAGTATACGAATTAAGTTTTAAAATCCAAATTTTATAACAAAATTCACACTTTTCAAAAATCTTATCTTCGCGATTTTTTTTAAAACTTACTTCCTTCTAACTTCTCAGTTTTACTAATATTAATAAAAGTGTTTTAGTTTTCCAGTTATGGTAATTATTATTCTGTTATATAATTTTTTAAAGATAAAAGCTCATTGGTGTTGATTATTTTTTTAAAAAGGAAACGAAATCTATTATCGTGAATAGAAAAGGGTCATCTCATTATATTTTGAATAGGATCAATATCCAAATAAAACGATTGAGTGTCGCGATCTCTATACTACCGCTTAACAAAAAAAAGTTTGGCATCCCAATGACTACARCAATGTATAGTAGATATTCTTACCGAGAAAAGATCCTGTTAGTGTGAGGACCAAAAGCGCGAAACGTAGTATGAGTTTCACACTCATGACATAGCCATTTTTCTGTTGACTCCATCGCCAGCATATTTCTAGATAAGAACTCGTATTCTACCCTCGGATTTAGATTTACAACATAGTGACAATCCCCTGGCCATTCCTTCAAATTTCTCAATTTATTTGTTGGGATGTTGTTTTGAAAGCCGCTGTTGTAAAATATTAATGACACACAACTGGTTACCAGTTARATCAACTACTAGGCTAGTGATATATATTAGACCACGTGTATCTACCGCTGATCAAAAATTATCGTGGTCACATGCAGGTTATCTTTTCGTTTCATGGGACGACAGCCATTCCGAAGTTAAGAAAAAACTGAGTCGATTTGGCATTGCATTGCATTGTGGGAATGGTTTTGGGGGCATATTTCTTTAAGATGGCGTTTGTTTTCGTCCCTTGCTAAAACGGTCACACAATGCATTGCGATGCCAACTCGACCTAGTATTTTTGCTTCAACCTCGGAATGGCTACCGAGGATACTGCTGAGTAGAACGAATAGACCTTCTTGCAGATTTTCAAACCAAGAAACACTTACGCATTTTGGATTCCTCTTGTACTTTGCCAAAATTCATCTGCAATTAAATCAAATAATAGGACCATGATACCTACCGTTGGCCCCAAAGGGGAATGTAGCAACTTTGAAGAGTAGCTGCGCTTGCAAATTGAAAAGAAACAAGTTGATGCAAATAAGAAACGAGTTATGTAAATATATATATATACATGTGTGTGTGTGTGTGTGTGTGTGTGTGTGTGTGTGTGTGTGTGTGTTTGTGTTTTATAGCAAAGCTAAGATTAAATGCGCTCTCTTACTGGTTAATTGCGTGCGCGAGCGTGCATCCAGGATGAATAAAAATTTGAATATTTTTTTGATCTTGATTTGCTATGTTATAAAAGCAATGGTCAATATATGCTAAGTTGTGTGTATATCATCCAGTTCTGGATGTACTTGGGAGGTTGACTCAACTACGCCTCATACGACTCTTACGATTCTTTCGTGCTTAGCGGCCTCTCGCGTGCATCCAGAACTGAATATACRCACGCTAAGCATTGACCATTCGTTACATATATATAACGGTTTACTGGCTAGGGTTTTTGTTGCGTGTGCTTTTCGAGGGGGATGGGTATCCTGTGGTGTGTGYTTCTTGTGTACTAGTCCCGCTCGGTCAACGCTAAGCTAACACAGGAAGCCCAGTACAGGAAGCCCAGTATACAAAGAGAAAAGAAGAGAAGGATAGGCGTAGCATTTTTTGTAGTTTTATGTGATTTTTGGCTTTTGATTCAAGAGAAATGTCTTGGAATCCACATCGAGGATCTCAACCAGCTTATAACCCCAGTTTYGTAAGTATACGACATCAGCTTTCATCATTGCTGAAATACTTCTCACCGAAATCGAACTATAGTCTAGTGTCCTACGCAGCCGCTAGTATAAACGTCTCCTCTATCCACGATCTACGAGTTATTTTTCGTCTTTCTTTATCTAATTTTGTTGGCTTTTGGTATCAATAAATAAATCTTTTGACTCTCGACTTTTGTTTTCAAGCTACATCCATATCAATAACGCATTTTTAAATCGTATAAGCTCTTAAATAAAGCTTAGTTCCAACTGTTTTCATTCTTATTTCCTTGAATTTCGGGCTTTATTTGTCGTGTAATTAAACAAGCTATATTAATCATTTTTCTTTATGAATAATATTAACTATTCCGAAAATTTTTGGCATTAACTTTKTCGACCTAAAAAATGTTAAGAATGTGGAATTAAGCTTAAATACAACCTATTCTTCGTTTGCAATAGACGTCATAGCCGCCATGTTGGAAGAATTTGACAAAAGATTTTTCAATGAAATATTCTTTTGTTATATCTTCCAACATGGTGGACATCCCTTTTGTTATTGTGCTCTCTTGGGATTGATTGCAAACCAAGAATACAGCAGCCATCTTTGCTGACACTGTTTGCATGAACTGAGTTGTAGTGAACTCCCACTGGCTTTGACATCTCCAGTTATCCTTCCAATGTAATCAGTACAGGTTTTGTTATTCATGGTTCCTTGCACCAGCTTGAAAGGTAACTGTACCTTCAATGAAGCTGAGCCTGTGYGAATGAGTTTGTGGTCTCAGAGGATGGCAAGGATAGCAGTGACCTTGCAGTGATAAAGACATCATTGCAAGCTCACCATTCGTCTCGTTTCAATGCAAAGGCACATCTACCTTTCAAGATGGTGCAGGGAACTGTGTGASGGGCTATTAAATGAACATATATATGATGGTGGGGCCAGAGATTAACACTTACACAGCCATAAAGGGGGGGGAGGGCAATAAGAGAATGCCATACCACCTTTATTGATATCAGAATCTTTTTTCTAAAAAATCTTCATATCTTATTGATACCCTGAAACGACCCATCAACTGCATGATCTAATCTGTGGCTACTTAAGGGTTTTTTTTGCTTGTACASGAGACAGACACAGGCGACAAATGCTAGCTGTTATTTTTAGCCCTGCGTTCCACAACAAAATTTGATCAAGTTTTAACATAGAATTTTGTAACTTGTTTCAGGGAGGCCAACAACAGCATGGTAGGGGACAATATCAACAGCAGTATGGGGGCCAACAATATGGACAATATGGTCCCCCACCTACTTTCCCTGGGTATGGTGGTGCACCACCCCAAGGCCCTCCCCCTGGGGTTGATATGGTATTATGGCAATGGTTTCAAGTGAGTATTTAGTGTGATTTGCTGTCTATTGGGAATGCTGAAATGGAGGGGCTTCAAACTTTAACCACCCCACCTTTTGCTAAATTATTCATTAAATTTTCATGTATTAACCCCCTGTTTCAGTCTTGTAAAAAATGAACTACAGTGTAGCTAGTTAGCTATATATTTTTCCAATTTATGCCCCCTCCCTCCCCCCCCCAACTTTCATGGGTACCCAGTGGTCTTTGGTGTAAAGTGACCATTATTTAAGTTGGTAAAATGCAAGATTAGCACTCCAAGAGCAGATGCATCTGTTAACTGATTTACTGTCAGTTTTTTATCAATCATTTGAYGGCCATTTGCCAATAGTTCCCCCTTAGAGAAAAATACTTYCTCTAAAAACTKTTGGYTATGCAATAGAGCTCTTAARTGTGACATCARTCRTATGRAAAAACAACTTTCAGGTCCRAAATCAAAAGCATTATTATAAAGATTTTTCTCCATTTTTCTTYATGACAGGAATACTCCATTTTTTACAGTTCCATTCAGTGACCACRAAKAATAGTTCCTAGCCGAGGCTGGAGTTACYGCGCATGATAAACTGTAGTTTTGCTATGYGYGGAAACTCCAGCCTCGGCTAGGAACTATTCTTCRTGGTCACTGAATGGAACTGTAAAATGGAGTATTAATGTTGACCAACAAATAGCCGACAATTAGTCAACAAGGCATCTGGCCTTGGTGCTGTAATACTTAAGTTTAAGATTAGGAAAGTTCAAAGACTAGAGTTTTTAACACTGTAATTGGGGGAAGTTCTGTGGCCATCTGACATATCACTGAAAAACCAAGTATTTTTTTCCAGTCAGTTGATGAAGACAGATCAGGTAAAATTACTGCAAGAGAACTGCAACAAGCCCTTCATAACTCAAACTGGTCCCATTTTAATGAGGAGACCTGCAGACTGATGATTGGTATGTTTGATAAGGACAAGTAAGTAGAATATAATATAATCATATTTATAAATCACCCATAAATGTGTAATAATATTTGCTTGCTGATTTTGGCTGTGCTTATGATGTCTTTGTTTGTTTGGAATATAAATTTCATTATTAGCCTGAGTTTGCTTGTAATCTGTTTGGGTTTTTAGGTCAGGGACAATAGATATTTATGAATTTGCAGCATTGTGGCAGTATGTACAACAATGGAAAAACTGCTTCGATAGGTAAGTCTGAAAGGAATGAAAATTGTGCTGGTGAATGATTAGCTACTGTAGGGTCAGTCTCCAACTGTGAGGGTTTTAAGAGTATCACGGGTGGATGAAACCCTGACGGCTGTAGACTGAGCCAAATGATCAACTTGCTACTAATTGTTGTCTTGTAATAAATCGAGGGTTTCATTAATTTTTTTGAAGTGATAGGAGAAGGTCGTTAACTAGCTTGAGGTTCCTGGGGGTCGAATTTTTGAATTACTAAGTTAATCATGGTTGTTCAAACCGAGAATTTTGCTCATCTACCAAATTTCTGATGAATATATCTACTATTTTTTTGAGTACAGAAAATCATATTAGATTTTTTGGAGTGTTTAGTATGGGTGGATATATTTTTTTGCAATATTTTGTTCAGCCCATCAGACTACAAATATTGCAAAATATCTGTCTTCCCTCTAGGCTTTCTCCTGCTATATTTTTAYTCTACTGAGTATAGTTGGATAATGAATAATTAATATTATGTCCTTTTTATTTTTATGCAGCTTTGATTTGGACAGGTCTGGAACAATYGATGCAAGAGAATTGAACAATGCTTTCTCTACTTTTGGATACAGATTGTAAGTCCTTCAAAAAATGAAAAGAAAAAAAATCAGAATTTGTTTTGATTTTAAGTAGAGTCTGTGTAATTTTAGAAGTTGTGTATTATTCCCAGAGCAGATACAAAGATTTTTACAAGGGAAATTTAAAAATGATAAGCTAAACCAAAAACCTTGATTAAATTTTAAAAATTGACTGTAGTTTGGAGAACCAAAAARCTTCTAGCTTCTAATTTATTAGGGGGCTTGTACTCATGGTTTAGGGGGTTTGATAAAATCAAGATGATCTAATAAGGGGTTCATAGTTGAATAATTGTTGTTGGACAAACCTCCTGAACCCCCTAGATCTGTGTCCTTGCATCCCGGGGGGGGGGGGGGTATCCTAGTATGGGTATATAGTTTGATGCTGAAATTGGGTTCACCCTGAGTAAACAAGTCTGCTATATATACATATATCAAACAACAAAGCAGTAATAATTTTACCAATTAATAAAGTTATTTTGAGAAGTTAAATAAATGCACTAATAATAATTAGACTAGTGCTTCTTTATTTTACTCACAGAACTCCCCAGTTTTGCAATTTATGTGTACAAAAATTTGATCGACAAGACTCAAGAACAATGAAGTTTGATGATTTTATTCAGTGCTGTGTGACCCTCAAGTCTCTTACTGATGCCTTCAGGGCTCATGATTCCAACCAATCARGATCAATCACGATAAACTATGAGCAGTTTCTTGAGATGGTGCTTGATCACACACTTACAGGACTTTAAGAGAWGCTGATACAAGTTTTTGATGTTGTCTAGACAACCCCAGGGTCACTTACTGAACTTTAAGAGAAGCTGATACAAGTGATGTTGCCTAGACAACCCCAGGGTCACTTACTGGACTTTGAGAGAAGCTGATACAAGTGATTAATGTTGCCTAGACAATTCAGGGTCACCTACAGGACTAACCAGTGATAAACAAGGAAAAATTATAGGGACTTTTCTTTCTGACTTTCATTGATGTTGCCTAGACAACTTAGGATCACATTAAACAGGCCATTTCTTTTAAATAACTGTGCAGTTCCAGAAAATAGCCATACAGTGCCTCCTACATGTAGAGAAGATTGAGCCCCTCAGCTGAGACATCCTGTATTTGAATTACACTGCCTAGAAATTCCAACTAATTGCAGCAAAAGTATGGATATAGTCTTGACTGCCTAAAGGTTTTCATCAATTATAAATTGAGTAGCGACTACACTGTAGCTTTAGGAGTACAGTCACAATTTTCCTCACACAAAATCCATCACCCTTGCCTTCCCCCCAAGAAACTTGTGTTTGACGTAGCTAATGATTATCTTAATGACAATGATGATAACATTTGACTGGTTTCGTATTCGCAACTTTGAGGCTAGCGAGGAGATTGAGTCCCTGAGCTGGGACATCCCATAATTAGATTGCATTCCCTAGAATTTCCAACTAATTGCAATAGCAGCGTAAATTCAACAGCTTGTAATCCTTCACTGCYCATCAAAACTGTTGTGTTTATACAAAGTGCCCCTCAAAAATTAACCAGTAAAAAGAGAGATTGATTGAAAGTCATTTTWCTTTTATCTTACTCTTAAATCAATAACAGCAATTAACTGCAAGAAAAACAACAATTACTAATAAGATGATGATCCCCCTCCATAAAAGTGACATAACATAAAAGACTGATATTGTTAAGCTTGAGGGTAAAGGCTCAAAGCCAATCTGATTTGCAAGGTATCTATCATAATATTTTTATTTGATTTTAAAATGGTAATAAAAGAAAATTATAAAGAAATTGTTTGAATAGTTCTATCAAACAAAATGTTTAAAGCAATGGAAAAGTAAAAGGTCCTTCCAAAACTGGAATCTTCATAAAAATGAAGTAGGTCCCCATGTCTAGGGGTGGTAAGAGACTATAGTAATGGGAAAAGTTTAAATGGGGGGGGGGGGGGGGGGGGGGGGTGGGGGCTATGGTAAAGTGGGGTGCTGTAGCTCCCCCAGCCCCCCTGTCTCTGTAGTCCCTGTTTCCAAGGAGGGGGGGGGGGTACTCTCCTATATTCGCTATACGGATACATGCTGCCAAACAGGGTATGATTTTCAGCCATTCTACTCTGGGACAGGGTATATAAAATCGCACTCGCTCTGGGACAGGGTATATGAAATCACTCTCTCCTCTCTGGAACAGGGTATCCATTTTCGCACTACCTGAAAAGGTTATGGTTTTCAGCGATCTTGCTCTGGAACAGGGTATGAATTTCAGTGATTTTACTCTGGATCAGGGTCAGGGTTCAGAGGGCTCAGCGGCACTGAACGGGCAAGAGTACCCCCCCCCCCCTCCCCGGGCCCTGTTTGTTGGAGTTTAGTGCTATTTAAGTTTTTTAAGAAATGGCATAACTAAGATTGGTAGAAAAATGAACCTCCCCTTTTTTCAAGGTCATAGAGATGGGCCTGTTGAGACATAAATCTGGCATAGTTGGATGTAGGGGTTGCCCATGTCCCCTGTCTCTGCAGTCCCTGTTTGTATGAGTTTGTTTTGTTTTAACACTTATTATTATTTATTTAAAGGGGGAAAATAGTAAAAATGTAAGAAAAACTTAAAATACCTTATGAAGTTACTACTCATTTATCTGGAAATCTGAGTAGATTTCATTTGCATAAATTAATTCAATGCATAAATTAGTCGAATCAAAAACGCGCGAAAGAGGAATGGTAACGAGGGGTTCATGTGAACGTCAAAACACCGAGCAACGAATTTGGCGTANNNCCCCTGTCTCTGCAGTCCCTGTTTGTAGGAGTTTGTTTTGTTTTAACGCTTATTATTATTTATTTAAAGGGGGAAAATAGTAAAAATGTAAGAAAAACTTAAAATACCTTATGAAGTTACTACTTATTTATCTGGAAATCTGTAAGATTTGGGTTTGAAAATAAGAATGTTTTTATGGAGTAGATTTTCATTTGCATAAAATAATTTAATGCATAAATTAGTCGAATCAAAAACGCGCGAAAGAGGAATGGTAACGAGGGGTTCATGTGAACGTCAAAACACCGAGCAACGAATTTGGCGTAGGAAGAAAACAGCCTGAAAAATACTACTATTTTCAATCCAAAGCTTTCTTTCATGGCTGTGTATTAACCCTTAATAAGTCAAATCCGTATTACAAGGTATTATGTATTGTGTGGTTGAAAAATAAGAAGGAAAAAAGACTTACAATGTCTGGTATTATCGGACGACMGTCAGGAACCTTGTCGAGATCTCGCTCCTTCGAATCTCTCAACTCCAAGGTAAGTAAACACTGTTTCTCGTATTTTAGGGCTTTCTTTTGTTTCTAAATGTGTTCTGCTGGTCTTCGTTTGAGCGCAAGAGTKTCTGTTATACTTGAGATGAAGATGTTTACCAAGCTCTAGACATTACTYTTGAAAGAATTGATATCCTGGCATGCATGCGTATTTACTTATTTTTTTATTCGTAATTCTCGAAATACTTGACTCTAAAAAAAGAGGGAGGTTATTCTATTACTAGTATGAGAGTATTAATTTAAAATTTTACTAAAARAGGTTTCTACGCAGAGCCTTTTCCTTTAGGAAAAACACAACATCGAACAAGACACATCATGTTCATGCCGAAGTAATCTCTTGTCCTATACACGGTACTTTTGAATTGTGAAAGTGTGTGCTACAGTACCTTTTTCACTTTTCCTACTTAAATTCGCTACAGTATTTGGTTTAGTTTATGAGGCATTAAAAAATCATTTTGACAAGAAAACCAAATCTCGTGAGTCAAGTTATGAATGATCTAGACTACAATTTTTATTTTTATCAATGTTTGAAAGATAGGCTTATTTTCTCTTTTATATTTCGTTTATTTTAAGTTGTACTATTTATTTCGTATCGTTAGGATTACTTACATGTAGATCAATTTTCTGTGACTCTATTTTTCATGCATGATTTCATTCATTCATTCATTTTTCACAACCTTTGGTGTTTGTTTATCTGTTCTTTAATTTTCTGTTTTGATCACAAATTTAAAATAGGGTTGATTCCTGTCTATGAAGATAAATAAAATTATAGATTGCATGTAACTATATAAGGAATGAGGAAACTCTAAGTTCTCATTTGGCTCACGCCACTGATTTTATTGACTACTTGAACTGAGTCCCAAGAGGAATTATTCTGGGGGACAAAACAATGGATTTTTTTTGCATAAGGAAAGACAGCCCATTATTATTTTGTCCCCAGAACAATTCCTCTAGGAAATTAGTGAAGGGGTCTATTTATGCAGGTTTAGCCTCGATCATTCAGCATACAGGGGTTAGATATTTATAGACCATAAAAAGTCAGTGAGATTTCACAACATTGGTATTGTTCTAGTTGCACATTCTTTATTCTAGTTAACTTTTTTGATTGATTTATTGGTAACCAAGTCTAGCCCTGTAGTCAAGGGTACAGACTGTTTGTTACTACTGCAGTTACTAATTTGAACAAAAAAGGACTATTTGTGGTGCTTTCAAATTTTTATCTTCAATTGTCTCTTAAAAATCATTGCTGTGTCATTTCATACTGTACAGTAGTTTGGATTTCTGTCACTTTTCTTACTCTCTTTTCATTCTCTTTGTCTCCCATTTTTCATTTCATCCACTTTTATTTTTTAGTTTTTTTCAAGCAGCAGTTCCCCATGTAATAATTATTGTTTAACAATGTAGCAATTTGTGGGAGGTTTTAATAAAATTATTCTTATAAGCCCTCCAGAAAAATCTCAGAAACTAAGAGTTTATTTGTTTTGATCAAACTTCAGACAGTTCTCAGTTATTTGTCTTTGTAGACCAAATTATCATTTATYTTAAATAATTTATTATCTGTATACCAAATATTAATGTTCATTCCTAAACAGAGTTACATGTATATATAAGAGTGAAAATATATTGTTGAGGGAGTTGATAAGAGTAAGTGGGAATCCATTTATTGAAAGGAATGCAAGTGTCAATAGGAGTGCAGTAAATAATGAGGGAAGTCTCTACAGTTTTGGCACAGATTGTAGAAAAATATTCAAATTCATAAAATCTGAAATAATTATCTTGTAACAAATTTGTGGAACTCTTTTCTTGATTTCTGTTCCTTTGTTATATTTTGACAACTGTTACAGAAATCAACCACTTTCCTTGACATATGGTTTTTCCTTTCGCTTTTATTAGACACAGCCTTTCTATCAAACATGTTTGTTTAGCAAGAGTTCCAGGTGATCTTTGCGCACAAAGGATTGTTGTAGTTGATCAGGTGGTCCGGTCCTAGTTTCAGTGTTTATYGGCGAACAAAGAGGTATCATTTCACGATAATCTTATAAAAGGATTGAAACTGCCATGCACCATTTGACCCTCAGGTAGAGGTCATAAGTATYTATAAGTGTCTAGTACCTATAGGTTGAATTTTAAATGCACTGCTAGTCCATAACAAAAGTAAAACATCAAAGATTCAGAGTTATTTTCTCTGACTGCAGCCGCAATGTTTCCTAAGATGGACCGCCTGATCAGATTTCTTCCTGCGGGATGATTGGCTGGCATTTGATAGGCTGTCAAAATGAGGTCACCTGGTATTGTCAGTAGATATTTTATTTTTCACTGTCAAAAAAAATGAAAACAATTTAATAATTATTTGATGTGATGACAAAATTTATTGTCAATGAGAGGACAGACACATAAAAAGCTGATGCCTATTTGTTTTTTACAATAACGAAAACGATAAAAACTTCTCATTTTTAGCGATCAAAACAACCAACGGAAAGAGCGTGTGCTCATTGACRTCAGCTTTACCTGTCTGTCCTCTTATTGATGATAGAAAAATAATCAATCAGCRCGCAAGAAATTTGTAAGTTATTGTAAAATTCTTAAATTACAGGTTCTAGAAACATTTCTAGAAGGAACTACTAAGCGATACAAATTTAATTTCACAGCAAGTTCTGTAATCAACTGTAGAGATAAATGCTACATTAGTCATGCTTTTATCAATTATTCACACCATGGGACAGTCCAGACTGTGATTTTGCAATAAAACAAAAAGTGAAAACCAGTGTTTTGAATTGTTTTCATGCTTTTATTCATTGTTCCAAGCCTAAGTAAAATATGCACTAAAGTATATCKTTGGCAAATTAGTCATACCGTAAGGTAAAGAATAATGCCTTTTACACACATAATAAATAATAATATTTTAGAATTCTACTGATCAGGTCTACTCAAACTAGATTATTTATACAAAAATGAGAATGTATTTTCTGGTATGTAAACTCTACTCTTCTATAAAATTTGTTTCTTAGCCTRATAAAGGACTATAATGATTATTGCAGAGTTTCATATTGTACGTGTAGGAGAACTGGGTGGAAACCAGAAAATCATGGAAATAATGCCATGAATATCTCCATTTTGCATTGTTTTTTGTTTATTTGGTCAAAATTGGGCTGCTTTTCTTGAGCTCAGTGGTATTATACAACTACATATGCGGCCTCTTAGAAAGTCCTCTCAGAGATTATTTCCAAGATAACAAATGCTGTAAGAGGTTTTTCATGTTCCTAATGAGGTTTTATAAGTCTTTARAACTTCACAATTATACCAACTATTTTAGGATGTTATCCCTCGGCTATTCATCACAAATATCTTTATTTTTTGCATCAGAAATAAAAAATCATATTTTCAAAATTGTAGCTAGTTTTATATTTTATTTTATTTTGAAAAAATATTTTGAATTGAATTCGTAATAAAAGTTGTATATCTCAAAATCATGTTTGTAATGAATAAATAATCTTTTCAATTTACTACAGTAATTAAAAAAATAGAGTTCATTGTCTCGAAAGCTTCTAGAAATGAGACCTCATACTTGATACTCTTTTCCATAAATAATGTATCACTTACAGTACATAATGTGGCCCATTAATGCTTAGTTTTGGCCCCTTTTCTTCTATGGACCAGTAAAAAATACTGCRGTATACATGTATTTGTGTGACTAATGATTAATTTATTATAGGCTCGTATGGAAACGACATTTGGTCCTTCAGCATATGCTCCAGTAACAACAATTAAAAGAGGTATGATAAAGAAATTGGTTATTCTTGCTACATGTAGAGAAATRCTATCTATCAGGGCGCTAAACGAATATAACCAAGTGTCGATCTATAGAATAGGTTTCTTTATCATAAGAGTCAGACAGTAAAAGATTTTTCAGGACTAAATGAATTGTCTGTAATACTTGAGTGGTGTCCCTGTCGCATACTAAGTTCAGCTGCCACTACAATACATGCTTGTACATGTATGTATGTTGGATATTGATGCACTCTCAACCTTTTTTATATTAATTACTGTATGTCATCACAGTAAAAAGTGGTGTACATGTTATAAACTAAGGTGTATTTTGTATGTTTTATCATAAACTGCTATGGCTGTTAGAAGTTGTAAATTTATTTTGTAAACAATTAAAAACTAGACTAAGTGTACATTTACATTGTTATTCATTTCCTGATTATGTACTATCTAGAATGATGTAAAAAATGTTTACGAGTAAATGACTGGCTGACTGACTGACTCACTGAATAAATGTATGGATGTATAAATGATTGACTGGAGAAATAAATAACTGATATTTTGATTGACAGTTGAAGCAGACAACTTCTTGTATGACTCAATAGTTGAGAGGTCCTCTAACAGCTTGACGTGCATGTCTGGGAGCAGTACAGAAAGGGATGTGGACAGTGGCACAGCTGGCTCTGAGAAAGTGAGTAAATATTCATTGACATATTACAGGGCTAAAAATGTTGGATGCTCAATGGCCAGACATGATGACCGGCCACATCGGACTGGTTAGTTTAGTTTATTATATTTCATCACACTATGAGGAGATTTACAAGTTGGCACATGCAAACGACAATAGGAATACAGAATTGCAGAAGAAGAAGAAAACATTAAACAAATTTACATGATGTAACACTAGAAAACAATGGGGTTGACAAGTCAGTATGTGACCATGCACAGTCAATGTAACATAGGTCAAGAGGACCATCCTGTGAAATGCTAAGCCAGAGAAGTGTCAATTTTTGCTGTATATATATGACTAATTAAAACATTTTTGATGCCATATTGAATAGACCTCTACCTCGTTTTGCAAATTTCCCAATTCAGACCACCTGACCTTCTCAGGAAATTGTTCTTTTATAATGAAATTTTTGAAAAAATATTTACATTTCAAAGAATCAAATCCAAAGAGTGGCATTACATGGTCTAAAAAAGGGACAACAAACAACGAAGGCCTGAAATTTAGTTCTACTGAAGATTTCTGTAGAGGGAAAAAAAATTGCAGAACCAAGAGAATCGGGAGAAAATCTGTTTTACACATGTTTTGTTAACTTGTCTTTATTTCTTTCTCTCATCTGACAGTGTAACTTCGAGATCTCTTCACTCAAGAGACACCACAGAACATCATCAACCATCTCTGGAAGATCTCTGCATTCTATTTCTACCTTAGCTGATGATGAAGAAGAGGTAAATTAATGACACTTTGTAGTACATGTACATGCGTTTTCATGCGCTTCACAATATTTTATTTCCAGTGGAAGACTTAATTAGCGACTGCCACGCAGCTTACAATCAYGAGAAGTGGTTCTTTTAGTATTTTAATTAGAATGTTTATGCCTCCATAATAGGCTGTTGAAACAGGAGACAACCCCTCAATCTTATACAAATACGTGTAGCTCAACAAGTTCTCTAATGTCTCCCAAAAACTAGTTATTATATATTAACAATTATTTAATAAGAGTCAGGAGACAGAGCCCACAGTTTGTCCAATTCCAAGAAGACTTGAAGGTCTACCGAGTGACCCTGAGTGTTGGTCGAGCCGGGGCTAATTGAATTCCACAACTTTTCACATGAAATCCTGATACTTTACCAACTGAGCTTACTGGTTTAATAATGAATGGTTTTATTACCRGTAATAAATATCACTTATTCCTTGCAGTTTATTCAATAACAAGGTATCTTTTCTCTAGGAGGTTGTATTGTTTGTAGAAGAGCCATCAGGCAAATTATTCTGTCCACTATGCCRAAGGGTGTTTAAGGAGCCAGTAATAGCTTCATGTGGGGTAGGTGCTACCTAATTTGAAAGCTGTTTAAATAGTAATTTAATACATTAAATAGTTATTCACTTATCATCCAACAAGTTACGTAGCTTGAAGCCTTGACACTAACTTGTCTATTCTTTCAGCACACATTTTGCCGTCCATGTATTATGGCCAAAGGCATAGAGAAGTGTCCAGTGGATGATAATAAGCTATCTGTGGTCGTAGCAAACTTAGCTGTAAGTAAACAAATGAATGAATGGGATGAAAATAAATAACTTTTATTACATGATTAGTAAAAGACTCTTTGTATGATCATCCATTTCATTATCATGTTACACACAATCACTTGTAAACTTTTACTGCACAATAGAGATAGAGAAATAATTGGATTTAGATTTGGTTTCCTAAGTAATAATAATAATAATGATAATAATAATATAAAGTTCTTGAAAAGGCATCTCACAAAAGTCTCGATGCTTTTTACAAATTAGCAAACAAGCAGCAGGTTACAACTATAAGTAAATAAAAATATATAGTTCATAAACTCCTGTTAAGCAGGAAAGTTTTGAGTGCAGATTTGAAGGTAGGAAGTACCTTTACATACGTCCTCACAATGATTTGATTTATGTAACACATCTATTGCCAGATTTTCTTATCACAATGGATTTTGTCTCGATCACCGCAATTTCTCAAGAATCACTAATATGAGGCCGTGTATCACCAAACAATAATTGAGTATTAAGAAATAGCAATGAAAACATGGCAAKCTGGAGCCAATATACACTCAATTGAAGAATTGTTGTCAGGTTCAGAAACATAGAACATAAAAGCTGAGACCGTATTGGAACATGGGAAATGACATAATTATATTATAATTTATTCATTTGCGCCATCCATGCAGTCAGTTTAGAATACCAAAYGCKTATTAAAAACAGTGGATGATGCCACTGGTCGCCGGTCACAGMATGCATCTAATTAACGTACTTCCCATGTGCCATTTCRGTCTCAGCTTCTATGTTCTATGTTTCTGAACCYGACAACGATT